GTGCAGATGGATTGGACACACGTCGAATGATATCGCATGCCACGCCACTGATCGAGTGGAGTCTAAAAGTAAAACAGAGAGTTCGACATGTGTTCGAGAGTGATATGGAGGAGATTGTGTGAGGAGAAGATCAAAGACTACTGGGGATCGAGGGACGAGCTAAAAAGGACGGCGGAAAACAGGATGAAATGAAGACGTGTTTGCAAGCCCTTTCTCCCACTTGGGCTCCAAGGGGACACTAATAATATTTATTGTCTTCAGCAAGTCTTAAACAGAAACACCACTGAAGCCTCACAAAAGATTATTCACTTCTCAAATAACTTATTTTATTGTGGAAAATGGACATGACATACTAAAAGAACAAAGTTTTCACCTGAAGAAAAATTACTTTATACCCCAAATCTTTCTGTACAATGATATTATTTATAATTTTTACCTTGATTGAGTGAGTAATATGATGGCTTTTCAGCAAAAAACATGGAGTTCTGTAAATAAATATCTTTTTGGCGATTTCGTTTCCTGTAGCTGTGCCGTATCTACCGAAGAGAGTATGATTTAGACTCCCACCTACCTAACCCAATCATACTTTCTTTTAGAGAATTATTTTACGCACTATGTGAGTTTATTTCTAAGTTAGTATCACTGTGGTTTCTATGGTCTTCACCTCTCTCTGTCTCTCTGTGTCTAGACTTACAGTTCTTAATTTTATACTGAAAAAAATTCTTTCCATTTAACTTCACCTTTTTTCACTATCTCTATCTGAAATAACCAAGCGAATTTTTCAGGAATAAATTCAGTGAGAAATTGCAATTGTACAGGCTATTGAGAATATGTTCTCTGGAATGATATCTCAACTGAACTTTTTATTTTCTCACTGGCAAGAGATTTTCTGAGAATATTTTATTTCCCAATACTCCGACGTAAATACTCTTACACAACTCACGCACAATTTCTGTTTTGCATCTATCACTTCAGTCAACATTTTCGTGTTACATTTGGCAGTATGACTAAATTGAAGTGTGGTAAGAACCATTGCCGGTTTGATATTGGCTCGTCTATTCCGAACAGGCCATACATGCAAGCATTGAAGAATCTTCTTTTATCAACTTTCAGGTACCAAATAAGTTTCCAAAAGACCCTAGGTACCGAATACTACTCTAAACACCAAAAGCCATAAGAATTCTCATAAAACAATGATAGCTCTGCATGTAGAAGAAACAACTTCAATCAATATTGGTATCCTGATCTGCTATGGAACCTATAAATTCACAAACTTTATTATTTTTTATGATTTGACTGATATTCACTTTAATATTACACTTTTATTCACATTATCATCCACTCCATAACAAAAAATTCTAATTGTATGTAGTTGTAGAACTTGATGAAGAAATTAGCGAATAGAATATTCATTTATCACTAATCAGTCTTTTCAAATTTATGATGGCTGTCCTTAATCAACCAAATATAACTAATTATAAGGTAATACGATCATTGTTCATTTTTTGTGGCAGGCACATTCGTTGTCTGTCAAGTTAATAATTCAGTTAAATATCTACACTTGAACATCAATCAGTAAGGCGGAAATCAAGTCACAAGCATTAATCTAAAGAGCTTCTTTAGGTGTTCAGGTTAGGAAATAATCTGAATCCTCTGATGATTATTCTGTGATGAATGAATTAACACATTACCTTTTTGAAGTATTGATTTGTGGGATTTGATTGATTATTTACAGGATTTCATCATGAGCTGACATCAGTTAGAGAACCATTGGAAAACCTGGAACTACTTCCGATTCACGACATAGCGCAACCACTTAACAATGTCTTCTTTGATGAGTAACAACTGGCGAAAGTGAGGTGAATGGTCTACCAGCTGGCTGTCCTTGTAACCAGAAGGTCCTGATTTCAAACTCCTACGGGTGTGTACTGATGAAGAGTCCCAAAGTAGGACGAAATATCTGTCTGGTACTTTTAGCTCATGATGAAATCCTGTAAACATTACCTTTTATCAAGATACACTAAAAATACAAAAACACATCCTACACTATCAAAACGTGTCCTAAACATCTCTGTTAAAGGAGATTTTAGTCAAGAAATCAATTGTAAGGTATCATTCATGCACTGCCAGCGCAATATTATGAGTGCGACTACCTCATGTAACCTTTATTTGACGCAGAAACATGAATACGCTAAGGTGATGATTACAGAAACTTAAGCGTAGGCATTACTCCAAACAGGACCTTGACACAGTCATCTCATAACAAAACATGTATATATTTCAACAGTTTCAATCATTCGTTTCACGCTAAATCTCTCATAAACAAAATATTGAAAAAAATATTTTTTGAATAAACACATTAGACGTTCCACTTTCCAGTCAAACAATCTGCTGACAATTTTGTTTGTCAAACAGAAATGCACATTTTTAAAAAAGTGTTTTGATATCACTGTGCACCACTGAAATCAATCAATAAATGAGGTTAATAATCTAGGTAGATCAGCTGATGACATCTATAATCCTCATGGTGGTATTTATTTCTCTGATTTTTTCACCTAGGAAATCCTGAGACTAGTCCAAATGGCCTAAGTATTCTCATTCTGATGATTAGAGAACACAATTTTAGCATTTTTTCATCAGGCTTTATAAGGACTTAGTAAAATCGATTAAGCATAGGTAGACATTTGATACTAACTGTGGTTAATAAAACTAAAGTTCACATATTCACGAGATTGACTACGTAGATTATATTAAACACTTTTTTATTTCTAGTTCAACTTCGATTTTCCCATTGACTGATTTGGCTGAAATGTTTGACCTCGGCTGATGTGTTGGCTGCTACTATTGACTCTTTAACGATGCCCCAGAATTAACTTAAAGTAGCTTTGGGGAATCCACGATTGACATTTCGAGCCGTCGAGATCCATCAACTGGATGTACCTGCAATCCCAAGTAAGTGAAGGTGTTCCCACTGAGCCTTGAACTCAGTAGCCATTGTTTCAAATGCCAAAAGCGTTATTACTGCCTTCCCCACCTCATCCCTAATTGAGGAATGAAGGCACGCTCAGAGATGAGTACCGAATAGGACGAAACATGCTTCCTGGATTCCAGTGCCAGTCACCATCCACCAAAGTCATAAACACTTGTATGAATTTTTCCTTGTTATTATTATTGCTGTGTTCACACTGATTTTTATCCACAAAAATGCATATACCATAACTTTAATTCTATTAAGTATTTTATTTATTTATTTTTGATTGCAGCTTGATTCCACACCATATTTTCGGTACATGTATGGAATTTTCAGCGTGGATATCGTTGGCCCGAAATTCGCAGGCCGACCATAGATATCAGGTGTGCGTCGGCGAGGGCTCGAACCCCGGACCATGTGCATGGTCGGCGAGAGTCCTAACCACTATGCCACCGACGCACATTGGTACATATTGGTATCAAAAATTTACCTATAGCTAATATAACTTTATTATACAAATTGAAAGCCTGACAAGGAACTATTTAAAATACGCGTTTTCTGAAATCGCGTTCTCTAAATAAATAATTAAAAGTCAGTCGGAATGATGAAAATATTTTTCACTAAATCCTCTTCAGGTTCTTACAATGATAAAATATAACATTTATTGTTACAAATAGTGGCCATTTGCGCGGCAGTTACATTTTTATATAGAAAAGAAGATAGGTGGTAAAATAAATAAACATTCCCGTCACGAACCAACAGCAGTTAAAGAAATCATTAAAAAACAGTTTGGAGCACTGAGGGTATGATTCGTCCCACTTCGGGACTTTTCATAATTGCTTACCCACAACCCAACCAGAGATAGAATCCAGGATCTTGAGGTTATGAGACAAAGATGGGGGATCATTTAACCAGTTGGGCTAGAACTCAGTGACTCTTGAATTGCAACTCTGTGAATTCGTGAAATAGCTCTGCTATTACCAATGCCTCGTATTTGTATCCACTTCACTGTGACATTGTAAACTCCACTGCTGACGACTTCCAGCTGCAGCCTAATGAAGTTCGTCCAGTAGCCATCACTGAAATGGCTGTTGATAGTCCTTACAAATCCCTTAATCTGAAAATATATAGTACCTGTGCGACAAAAGTGCTATACTACATAAAAGTGTATCCGCCACATAACTGCTTATTACTGTAACAATAAATATCATATTTTATAACTGTGAGAACCTGAAGAGAATATTTTTCTTTTAATTCATGATATGAGGATATTTCACCCTGTTGAATGGTGTCAGTGGTTCCGGGGCAGATTGATCTCCAGTATTCACAAGAGGTTAAGGTTTGTTCCTTGGTAAGTTCATTCCCAAAACTTAGTTTTCTAGCCTCTAGGCACAACTTTTCTTAGTGTAAATATTTATAACTTTCCACCAATGTCAACCTACGAACAGGTGATAGTACAATTCTGAATCCTATGACAAGTCAGTGAGTAGCATCATCTCTGAGTGAAAAATTTAAAAGCTCCAACATCTCGCAAAACGATTGTCGTAATCTGCCAACAGATGCAAGGTCGAAGCGAAACATGTCTTGGTCCTGTTCTGATGGACCCTTAGCATCAAGAGGAACTATTCTAGGTCATCTGAATTTCCCAGCGATCAAGACACAGCATTTATATTTCTTTTAAGATAATTTACCTGCTAGTCAAAGACAAATTCATGAATATGGCTGTCATCCCCTGCTCCTTCTCTCAGGGCATTCATTACACATCTTCAATAGGCTTTAAAACTGACATCATCAAAGTACTAATATTTAATAAATGCATTTTGTGTAATTCATGTACATAAAAAATATTTTGTATAAATAAGTAAACTTTTTAGAATATCATCTGTTATTGTTTCGTTTTTTTCTTTTAATTAATCAATACTGGGTCAGATACTAAGCATTGATTGTTTGTTTATCTATTTTGACTGACAATGAAGCTGAAGAGGAATAATAAAGTCAGATAAGGAAATTTGGGAGAAAATACTCCAAGTCACTTTGAATTCGTATCTCCCTCTGACAATCCATTCACGGTATTATCACTCTGACTACTATTATTAGTAGTGGTTGTGGTAAGGGGAGGAGGTGGAGGCGTAGTGCTACTATCGCAAAATGACTTCTCCATAACAGGTTCTAGATGTGTATTACTCGATAATATATTATGCATTTTCAATTCTAATTCATCTTCACTCTCATCACCATTTGAGTGTTCACAACCATTCATACAATGGTCAGGAGATGTTCCATTTGCTACTGGTTGAAACAGGGATCCTGATTCTTCTTGTGTCATTGGTATTCTTGACACAGGGAATTGTGTTGACGATGAAGTATGCAACCTGCGTAAACTGATACTTTCACGTGGTTCTAAATTCCAAAATGCTGTGTAAATTCGTTTTATTCTAGGGGTGCTTATTAGTGAACCGAATGGATTATTGTATAATTCATGTCCATTTGTTGTTGTGGATGTAGTAATTTTGTTTAAATGATCCTTACTTTCAAGAGTATTGATTGTTGAATTGTTATAAGTATGGTTGCTTGGTAACTGTTGTTGTGTACTCGGATAATGTTCAATTTTTGGATTATTTACTAATATATGCCCTTCAGGTGTAATTCGTAAATATTTTTGTAATTTTCTTGTTTGTTTAATATACCTTAGCCGACAATCACGATAACTTGAACTGAAATTTGATCTTGCATGGGAGTGTAATGAAAATGCTGATGTGGATTTTTCAAAAAATGGCCACCCAAAATCTCTAATAGTATCCAGTAAAACTGTTGTATCATAATTATACGAACTGTCTGATTCTGTAACATCTCCTGATGTCATATTATTATTGTTATTATTATCTGGGTTGATATTATTATGATTATTATTCATATTCAATGGATGATGGTACTCTCTGTTCAACAGAGGATAAGACAGAGAATTAGACATATACATATTTTGGAATGTACTATCCTCACTACTTGTATCATTTACACTTTGTAAATAATCATTCCTGTAATTTTCATTCTTACATAATGAACAATTATTCCCCATGGAGTATTGTTGACAATAATGAGAATTATGTGTGTTATGAGACTGATACATAATTCACTTCGCAGTCGGTGTATTTCAGATTATCACTTGAATTTCTGAAGCAATAGTAATTTGGAAGATGGTTTAAAAAATGCAAAAACTATTACGTCTTCGTTTTTTTCTTCAGTATCCGGTTATATATATCACATGTTAGAAAATGTGCGATTTGTGAAATTTAGGATACGATAACAACAAAAACAATCAGCTCCTGGATAATCCACATGTTTAAATTTCGATGAAATAAATAACTGACTTATGAAGTTAGTCATTGTTAAAATAACCAATTAAAAAGTTTATGACTCTATAAACTGATAGTTCATTGGTTAATTATTTGTTGTATTTTCATTGGTGAAAGTCTGCTATTTTCTATTGGTCGAAATGTCTGATATTTTGTATTATAGAATTTTTTAGTGTGATTCATCATACAGTCTAGATTATGAGATCTGTTGGGATTTGAATTAATTTCACTTGTTAGATTTTAGGGATTCTTCGTCAGTGTGCATTCACCAACACATGAGGGAGCGAATCCGGGACCTTCAGATTAAGCGATCAAGCTCGTTGACCCCTTGCGTCAAAATTAGATGACTTCTGAATTAAGTATTTCGATTCATAATATAGGGCTACGCTCAAACACTTCTGAAGAGTTCCCAAAAATTGGACGAAAGTGCTGTCCAGTTCTCTCTGATTTTAAATGATCTGTCCAACTATTGTTGGTTGGTTATAAGAACAAAACAATCAAAATTAATCATATAGTGTCGGACAGTCAACAAATTCAAAGGCATCTGCTCGTGTTTCAGGTCTCGAACACATTTCATGTAACATGTAACGAAACAGTTGTCCGCGAAATCCTGCTAGACGATTTAATCACAATCTCGATAAAGTTAGATTGAATGATCTCAAATTAGCTTTTGAATCATTGGAAACCAGGGAGTGCTAGACAGATACTTCGTCCTAGTTCGTGACTCATCGACAGCTTTTACCCAAGAATCCAAGATAGGGGTAAAGATCAGGACTTTCAGCTTGCGAGGTAACCTCGATGAACGTTTATTCACTCGAAAGGAATGTAGTTGAATAGCAATGAGATGCTCACTGGCGACTGGCCCTATTCAGGTAGGTAGTTACCTGGGTTCCAGTGGGAATTCGTGACCAGTAGGGTGCAGTAGGTCGGGTGTGAGGACAAATACCCGCCAAAGACATTGGCTAGCGGTTGCGCTATGTCGTGAATTGGCAGAAGTTAGAATTCAAGGACCATTGGATTGGGTCCCAGTGGCTTAATGGTATACGAGCTCGCCTTGTAACCGGAAGATCCTGGGTTCGAACCCCGGTGGGTGCGTACTGCTGAAGAGTCCCAAACCAGGATGAAACAACTGTCCAGTACTCTCAGGTTTTCCAATGGTTTTCTGACTAATGTCAGCTCATGATGAAATCCTGAGAATGTAGTTGTTGTTTGGACCATATGTAAAAAGCGTTGGTGTGTTATCTTTGTGAACAGAGTTTTGATTCCACTTTTCTGGAAATATTCTACTTGATTCGAAGTACTCGTTTTGTACTTAGACTGAACTGTGTAGCATCTTGACGACCCGTGATGAGAATCACAGATTTACTGAAGAATAATCAACTTTTTGCCGTCTTTGGAGCACTTCATGACTGTGTGTGGCTCAAGGAATTTTTGTCAGCTATATAGTAGGAATCAGAGATTGGCTTCCTGCGCTCAGACCATACCGAGTTGGTTTTGGTTGTAACGGCTCAACTTGTAGTCGGAACGAAGGTACCCAAATGAGTTGAATAAAACAGACAACTTCCATTATATCTTTCAAATTGATGCTCATTGATGCTTGCTTCTGTTGGCCAGTGAAATATTTTCACTACCTTTGGCTTCGTCGTGTTCACTTGAATTCAGATCTGCCTCTAAGTTCTCAAGTTTATATGATTTTAGATACAAGTCATCCTCAATGTTCACATCTCCTAGAGTTTTTCTCAATTCAATGTATGGCCATCTTCTCGCCCCCACGGTCTTGCACGTGAACCAGTTCATCACAACCAAGAAGATCACCGGGGATAATAGGAAGCCTTGTCATACTTCATTGTTCAATTCAAACGCTTCATTGATGTTTCTCTTATGAATTACTTACCGTGTAGTATCATCATTTAGATGGTAAATGAGGTTTATGAATGTTCGTGGCACTGAATTATTTCACAGTTGATGCTGTCGTTAGTCTTTCCAAATTTGATAAAACTGAAGCGCAAATTCGATTTTATTTGAGGCTATGTTTAACGACGCTGCATAGCCTTGTAGTTCGACCCGTTCACATTTTGTTTTTCTTAAATCCCACCCCTTTTTATCTAAAGTAATTTTAAATTTTCTTGGGATGATGCACCATAATATCTTCCTAAGTCTCACCTAACTTGACACAGAAGTTCTCAGTTTCCTATTAAAATATTTTGTACTTAAATAGTCAGCCTCACTTACGTATATGAATTCCTTGAAAGGATGCCACAACATCACCAGGATTAATAACTCGAAGTTTCTTTTCTTAGAGACGAGCAACAGTAGAATTTGGGATGCGAATTTCATCTCAGTCGGGACTCGTCAGCTCAAGGTGCTTGCTTCTCAGGATGAAATGCACCTCTTCTATATTTTGCTGTTAGCCACCACTCAAAACACAAGTGACGATAAGTGTTTGACTCATTAGGAGATCACACCAAGCATCTAAACTGATGTCTTATCATCACTGAAAGCTGTCAAAGTACAACGAAGCACTAATTAGAGTATATTTAACTTTCACCATTTGAACAATTAATCTTAATTCATGATGAATGGCCCTTTGATTAATTTCAATTATCTTCAAAGCTTCAAAACGAAACAATAGAGAATAATATTGAGCATAGGTTGTCTGACCGACAGACCACTGTGCAGCTTGTCAGTAATTGATTTAATAATAATTATTATTATTTAAACCATCACTGAGTACACAACTGCAAATGACCTGAACTAAGTCCATTCCATGATGTTATAAATTTAAAAATAATATCTGTTATTTAATTGGTGGATGGTGACTAGCAGTGGAATCCAAGATGCGCACTTCGTCCGATTTGGGACTCGTCCTCCAGCTGGATGTACCTGCACTTCTCAGTGAGTGATGATGTTTCCACCGAGGCTCGAACCCAGTGCCCATAGTTTCAAATGCCAAAGCGTCATCCACTAGACCACTTGGGCCACGAGAGTCACCTCTTGTGCAACGGGTTATATTAATTATTGAATTGAATTTGAGATTTTCCCGTCGATTGATTGGACCGAAGTGCTCGGTCTCAGTGCTTCGATCCAATCAATCGACGGGAAAATCTCAAATTCAATTCAATAAATAATATCTGTTATTTGAATTTCCTTACAATTCTCACAAGAGTAAATATATCCTCTCTTGTCTCTGTCTCACTTACTCAGCAAATGAATTGAGGTAGAAATATATGATACTCCTCATTTTTATTATACAAGCATTGATCGTAGATTCGAACAGACAGACTAAAGTCTGAAGAAAACTTGCTATCATATCTTCAAAACCAAATAGATGAGTATTTACTCTGTTCGATTCATTCTACTTGACTTCATTTCAGGTGTCAGTATTTTTGAGTTTTCCTACACCACGATTATATGTCTGGAGAATATATGCTCAGAAAAAAGATCGATTTCAACTGGTAAAGTATTAAGTCAACCTACTGTCGACAGTAAACTAATAACTAAACAAGTTTATCGTTTTGATATTGCTGTATACTTCAAGAGATTAATACTGACCTAAGCTACAAAAATTATCTCATAGTAATCATTGAACAGTTTTGCAGTGTTTCATTCCATGTAGTGGGATAAATGTCTAAAAATTCCCTCCTGAACGATCTAACTACAATACCAATACTTACTTGAATATTTCAACTAACTTTATTATTTATCTTTATTCTGGTTTGATCTCTAATTGTAACACTTCTCTTTTTGATTGTATGATGACGATAGTGATAATGTGTTGTCTGGTGACTGAGATTCTGTTTGAATGAGTCAAGGTTATTCTGATCTTGGACTTTTTGCTAGAATTGTTTGGTTTTGCTTTTCTTAACAGAATTTTGATCCCATCTTTAGGGGAATATTCTACTCGATTCTCAGATGATTGAGGGTTTTCATATATCATGAGAGTTGAAAAGTACCGCAGTTTTATTTCAAATTACCGTCTTTTTGTCATTGTTGAGGCACTATGTGACTGTGAGTAACTCAAGGAAGGTTTGGCCAGCTAAACAGTAGAAGGCAAAGGTCGATTTCCAGCATTTAGACGAGAACACTTTGGTTTCGGTCGTTAAATGATTACATTATTCTTATCATCTCTATGACCCTGGAGGGCATTAGTATTTTACCATAAGTCAACAAAAGTTACAATGATGGAAAAGATTTCTAGCTCTGATGGATATATTTGATGTAGTTGTGCTATCTCAGCTGGCTGATTTCACAGCGAATCTATCATCTTTCTTTCTAGACAACACCTACAGAGTTTAGTTAAATACATAGTGAGGTTTTTGAAATTTTGTATGAGCAGTGATATACTACTGTGTACTCATGCACTTGGCTGAGATTCGATGCCCTCAGAGGTTCCAGTATGCTGTACCGTTATTTAATCTAACTGGATGGTAATGAGGGGGGGGCAGCGGCGTTATATCGCTAATCGACAGAAGTTACTATCCACTGATCGTTGGATTCTGACTCATCATTTCAATGTTAATGTGTTTGCCAACTGATCCGAAGGTCCCGGCCTCAGTCACTGAAGAGGTGATGGACGTGTCTTTCTGCTTGTTATACACTCTTATTATTTCTGTTTTGTACCATTAATTCTGTGTTAATATGAAGATCCTTGTTAAGTGTATCGATTGATTGTAGCTATCATCAATAATGCCTGCTATATGATTCTGGAGTGATTGATTGATTCTATCTTCTTGAACCTCTCTGAATATATATATTATGTGATGTTATTACTACC